TTATTGATTGTGCCAGCAACGATGAATTTTCGTCGGTGGCCAGGTACCCCGTCAATTGCCCTTTGGGAGTTCCGACGGAAAAGAATTCACCAAGCACTCCAACTCTCACCAAAATTGTCCCAAGTGGGCTTCACTTGCTCATAGGGTGTATGCCGTGCATATCCAACTCTCGGGCCCATGGGAAGTCCCTACGCGAAGCACCTAATCGGCCAAAAACCTTGAGGTGGCCAGCTTCCCGGCGGTTGATAGTAGACTCGTCACCAGTCTGCTTACGAGGTTGCAAAAATGTGGCGAACACGTCGCCGTAGGCAGACTGGTACAATTCGGGATTTGCAATTGAGCTAGGCCTGAGTTTGAATTGTTTGAGGGGTGCCGACTTGCCAATCACCGGTGATCGGACCGAGCAGCAACTTCCTCAAGTAACTCGGGTTCAAGTTGCAGCTCCCCACGGTGCCAAAACAAAAATTTGAGGAGACAGAAGTGAAGATAGTCACATTCCATTTTGAACCCTACCTTTGACTGAGAAAGAATAATGAACTTTGAGTGCACTGCAGGCAAGATCAGAAATTTCAAACTCAGGCCCAGCTCAATTGGGCCGCCCGAATTGTACCAGTCTGCCTACGGCAAAGAGCTTGCCTCATTTTTTTGCCACTCGTAGGCAGACTGGTAACGAGTCTAGTCGACCCAGGCCTCCTGGTAACCTACCGTCTGAAACTTGGTTGTTTGAGGCTCGTCCCCATTTGGACGAGAAACACGGGGGGACCGCCCTCAGGATTATACAAAGTAGAAATATGTAGAGTCGATAATTTAAATCAGTAACCCGCATGATGTATGGCGAAACACGGACTTCGACTCCGTCGTGTACGGAATGTTTCGGGATCGCAGTGGTCACAGAAAGGAATTTGAGCGGGGGACCGATGCAAAGGTGGAAGACGGCAGAGCAAGCGAGTGAAGATTGTGGGCTCGAGGTGGTAGCGAGTTGGAAACCAAACGGAACGGACCGGATTCATAAGCGAGGTACAACCTGATAACGATAATGGGCCTGTCTAACTACGGATATGATGGCTACCAGCGAGGTACGCTCCGGTAACGATACAGGGTCTGTCTAGTCTCGTTTCCAGACGTTATAGGGCGCCCGCTCGCTGCGCTCCCGGGCAGTGAATCAGAGAGAGACCGCAAGGGGAAGACCGGATCCTCGGAAATTGTTCCGAGGCAGCTTTTGATGAAAATTTGATGGCGATTCACTGCCCTATAACGATGTGCGGTGGGGTTTTTTTGATTGATGTGCCCCAAATTTCAGACTCCGCCCAGCGCCATCCCCGTAAAGATCTGGAGCCGAGATTAGGTCTGTCTAGAGACTAAGGATCGCGAGTATAGCAAGGGAAGAATTCTGAGTGGAACTTTGATCCAAGGGTGGAGGACGGCAGAGCGAACGAGTACGGATTGCAAGGGCCTGTGGAGAGCTGTGGGAAGTTCCGGTGAGAACGGACTTTTTCGGTGGTGATCGCATCAAATTCAATTGGCGTTTCACATCTCTTACGAAGCGGATGCTGGACGGCGTCTTAGGGCCGCCTGTGATGTTACGCAAATATCCAGCGTACAAAAAGCTGTTGCAACGCCCATCCACTGGCAGACATCCCTTTCTTACCATGTTCAAAATCGCCGCCCTCGCCATGGGCTTCTCCTTGTCAGCCGCCGCTGTCGAGATTCAGAGCTTCAATCCTGCTTGTACTAGGACTCTCTTTCTGCTTGGACTCGAAGCTTACTGGGTTTTCTAGTCTCAAACGCTGGTATTCAGGGCTGCATCGCTGTTGCTGACAATGTGGACGGTGAACCTCTCATTATCCACGACTGCAACACCGAGCCGAATCTCGCGAACCAGGACTGGAAGGTGTCATTCTTTACCAGACAACCTGCCGGCCCCCAGCAAATCCAGGTGTTCGGAGACAAGGTGCGTGTGTGTATCTTGACTGCTCTGTTCAATTTCCTGACCGTTTCCTCAGTGTATCGACGTTACGGGCGGTGTCAACGCAGACGGCACAAAACTCCAGATCTGGACGTGTTCCGAGGGGAACACCAACCAACTGTGGACCTCTCTCAATGACTTCACCTTCCAGTGGAGCGGTACCAACAAATGCATCGATCTCTCCGACGGTAAAATCACCGACGGCAACGTGCTCCAGATTTGGACTTGCGGTACTGGCAGCACCGGCAACCAGAACCAGAAGTGGACCGGCGAACCCAATCCGGATACCTCTGAGTGAATCCGAGTCCTCCGTCCATTAACCCAGCCAGCCTCATTCACTCCATAGTGTTGATCGTATAATTGGTGGTTCCAGTAAGCAACGCGTCGCACCGTTCCATTTTCCTCTGGCCTGAACATTCTACACAGTTGCTGCGAACGAAACAGAGCACTGTATCACCGGGGCCTCCAACGCCGACGGCGCCGCGGTCGTTCTCTCCGATTGCGACGACATCAGCAGCACCAGTATTCCTGGCGGCAACGTCACATGGACGGTACCCGTTACACCGCTCATCGGCCAGATTAAGACTTTCGACAATAAATGTCTCGATGTGCCCAACGGGTCGACCGCCAACGGCGTCAAGCTCCAACTTTGGACCTGCACCCCCGGTAACACTAACCAGCTCTTCACGGTCCACACCGGGGTCGGACAAATCGAGTGGAGCGGGAAGGGCAAGTGTTTCGATCTCACTGACGGAAAATCGGCGAGCGGCACTCCGGTGCGTTTCTCTCATCTTCTGCCTGCTGCCGCCGGGCTGACTTGAGTCGTTCCTTTTCTTGGTCGATAGATTCAGCTTTGGGATTGCGCCGACAACAACAACCCCAACCAAGACTGGTTCCGCTCGCACGTCGGATTCTAATTCACCTCGACCACACATTGCAAATCCTTGCATCATGATCCGAACATTCATACCCAGGACATTATTAGCTACATCTTTTTGAATTAATGTTTTATCGTCGTGCTCACGCACCATCTCTCTTGTTTGAACGAGTCGCTTCATTCCCAACAAGGGGCTCTGCCTTCCGCCACTTATCGCAACTCTTTCATGACGGATTGTGTGGCATGGCCCAATCCGGGACTTCTTTCATTTTCACATTTTTAAGATCTTAGCGCGTTACGAATACGTACCTTGCTTCGAAATTCGATTCGAAGCCGTTCAAATTGTATTGTGTGGCCTTGATGATTTGAACGCCGCTCTTTCTACGTGGACTATTTTGAGCGACGGCGCTGATAACTTCTCTGCACTTGACCAGCAAGCAACGTGCTTCTCGCACCCACGACCCATCCTCCCTGCTTTGCGACTCCTCTCATGGCAGCTCCCACTCCTCAAACATCGGAACGGTATACACAGTCCTGCAATGCTTCGATTTTGGTGCGTATTGGTGAAAGAAAGGGACTCACCTGCGTTAATAATAATAGTGAAGTAAAAAAGGCGTGATGCTCACCCTTCGGCGCATGGGAAAATTCAGTCAGAAGCGATGTGCCAAGAAAGGGCACTTCACCGCGAACGAAAGGACGTACTCCCAAATCAGTGGCTCGACCCCGAGTCGAACGGGGATCTTCTGCCTTGGATAGGGTGCCGGAAACAGACAGGCGGTGCAGATGCGGACCGTTCGCCATCGACCTGATACTAGCTGGCAGTGAGACCTCGTTAGTTCATCTTGTGGGCTCAAGCGTGTTAGTGAAACAAAAAGAAAGCGAGGTACGGGGACTCGCCGTGCAACGGACATATCCCCCTGTAAAATCAGTGCATGGAGTTCCTTGAGCCAGCCCCAAGGAGAACGAACCTCGGAATGCGCGAGAAAAAAACATCGACTTGTTATTACTCCATGGCTCGACCCCAAGTCGAACGGAGATCCTCTGCAGGATGTACCTGCTTTACGCAATGCAGGTGCGGGCCGTCTGCCACCGAGCCCTTTCAAGTAGGGAGGTGTCCCTAGTTAGCTCCGCGGTCTTTTTTGATCGCTAAGAGTGAGCTGAAGACGAAGCTGTCCCGAGTATAAATGCAGAGGAAGCAGTGGAGGAGCCTGCCGAAGCAGAAGGATCAGAATAAAATGTAAGAGAAAACGACAGCTCCCCACTGGCTCGACCCCGAGTCGTGCAGCAGATAGTACAAGACGGGTGATATGTAGTACTGAAGCAGACCATCCGCCATCGAGCCGATATCGTTTGAGCGCTGTACTTCCTTGGGTTCGTCGCCTTCGTCGCGGTTGGGCTCTTTTGAATGCTAAGATTAAAAACAGGTGGTTTGGCCGCTGGAAGACGAAGGTGTTCTGGCATTAAATACACGAACCAATTGATTGTATGACCTGCCAGACGGAGGAACCAGAATAAGAAAAGGTCGATGGAGATGATAATATGGCTCGACCCAGTCGAATGGGCCTCCTGCTGCGAATGTGATCTCCAGAAATTTGTGCAGGCGCGGACCGTCCGCCATCGAGCCGATACCACCAAGGGGTTGTGCCTCGGTGAGTGTGGCCCCGTCGCTGCGAATCAGTGGGGCGTCCGGCTGCTAGAGCCACCGTTAAGCAAGGCGTAAAGCACGAAACGGGAACCTCACCAGGACAAAACGGATTTTTCATGTACAACATAGTTCGACTTGTCTCCCGTAAATTAATTTAGTTCGAGGCGGAGGAAATGGGAGCGAGGAAACGAACCTCCGGGTATGAAAAGAAAGGTACGGCAAAAGAAGTGGCAGAACCTAATAGTGGCTCGACCCCGAGTCGAACGGGGATCGTCTGCGCAACGTCCCAGAAATTTGCTAATCCAGTGCAGATGCGGGCCGTCCGCCATCGAGCCGATAACGTCCCTATTTGGGTGCAGCATTCGAGACGCTGGTTAGGTTCATCGTTTCCGGTGTTATGAAGAGAAGGAGACTCACCTCTATCCAGCTGCTTGAAGCTCTCCTGCAAACTAAGTGAGTTAAGCAAGGGGCAAGAAAAAGAACGCGCGGTAAACGAAAGTCCGCTCAGACCATGGCTCGACCCCGAGTCGAACGAGGAAATTCTGCGGTACTCGCTTGCACGACAATACAGTGCAGACGCGGACCGTCCGCCATCGAGCCGGCACTAGCGGGGAGTGAGACCTCGCCAAGTTCAGTAATTGCGGTGTTGAGAAAGAGACTCACAGCCATCCTGTTGCCTGGATATCTCCTGCAAATTAAACTAGGTGGAAGAAATGTGCAAGAATGAACCGCACCCGACGCGCGGGCAAAAAGACCATGTCAGCGGTTTGGACAGTGGCTCGACCCCGGGTCGAGCAGGGACCTTCTGCAAGATATACCTGCTTCAAAGTCAGCATGCATTGCAGGCGGACCATCTGCTATCGAGCCGTTATTGTACTGGTGGGGTCGAGCCATTTATGCCAATGATTTTTGCAGCTGCCGTGGAGACTGGAGAATGCGGCGAGTCGAGCGCAGAGGATGCGCAGCGGTGACCGGCGTAGCGCTAAAGTGGCAAGCAGAACCTGAACAGAAGCAGCGGAGGCTTGGGAAATCATAGCTTCGGTACTACGACTGGTCCCAGGTGGACGTCCGCAGAGTCCGGGTCACACTCGTCATCGTCACGGTCACCATCACAACACCACCTCATCCACCAAAATGTCGGGAATCTTCAATCGGCTCGTTCATCTCGTCGCTCTTCCCCACCACGCGCGCCCACGCCGCCGATGAGAAGCCCGCCTCCGCGCCCGAGACGCCCGCCGAGGACGCCCGCGCCGTGGAGCAGGCGCCCAAAGAGGAGGAGGAGGAGCCCGAGGATGTGCGCGAGGAGTGTATTGAGGAACTGTGCGTGCCCTACACCCGACGCAGGCGTAAGCACTGACTCCTGCATTTACGTGTGCCCGCTGACCCGCCCCGCTATCGCTATCGCGCCATTCCTATTTGGCCCACAGTCCCGTAAGTCGCCGCTCCCGCCCCGCGCCTTCCCAATGTCGCCGCTGTGCCAACTCAACGCAACCTCATGCACTGCTCCGAAGCCTGCGCCGCGCTTCATCTCTTCACCGAACTGCCCGACGTCACCCCGAGCCAGCAAGCCCCCGCTTGGTCCGCCACGGCCCGCACACCGATGACCCCTCTCGGCGGCGCTTTCCTCCTCGCGAAACCGGCGCGTGCGGGAACGGTGCGCCCTAGAAGTCAGGAGCCCGCAGACTCCGACGAGGTGCGCAACCACTGCTCCTCTCCTTCCTCACATCACGCTAACACGCCGCACATGGGAACACGAGCCTCGAGGACCACAACCTCGATGCTACCAGCCCGCCCAGCGCGCGCTCGTCCTGCATGATTCAGCGCCGGCGTCTCCACGTCGCGCCCCTCTTAATCTCCCCACGGTACGTCCCGCGTCCGCCAGTTTTGTTTTGCGCGCCGTTCTCCGCTCCCGTGCGCGCCGTGAGCTGCAGTGGCTTCGCGCGCGCATATCCCGACGTCGCTTCGCGCGCATGTCTCGACGCACTGACGCGCATCATACGTACTCTAAACACGCAGCTCTGTAGCATTTTTCTACACCATGACCCCCAAGTGAATATATCCACTTCACCCACGAGATAAATGGCCGCGTGGCGCGAGTATTGGTTGGTGTACCGCGATTCGTCGAGGATCTGTAGATGCGAATGATGCAAGCCCCGGCGAGCGCTCGAGGGCTGCGTACCGTCTGGATGTAAATAAATCTTACCATTAAATTACATCCGAGTGCGAATCCGAGGGGAATGAGATACCTCCAAAGTGTTATTCGGGTACAGTGACGTATCCTTCAAGTGGGAGGCCGAGAAAGATCGAATGGAGGCACGGAGCGACCTGTACTCACCCCACAATGCTTGCTGGGATCCACAGGGGTGGATCCTGCGCATTTAAGTTGGATGCATCCGGCACAGCAATTAAATTAAGCATATCTGGGCACGGGCGAGTAAGAGCATAGACCTGAATATTAATGCAGGAAAAGAATCCGCGACGGGACACAAAATCTGAGAGGAATGCGTGATGGCTCGACCCCGAGTCGAACGGGGATCGTCCGCGGGCAACGCCACAAAACTTTACGCGGGGCAGATGGTCGAGCCGGGACTAGTCCGGAGCTGTGCCTCCTTCCCTCAGTCATAGTATTCAGTACGCGAAGGAAAGGGCGAGTCCAGCTAAAAAAAGACACCTCTCTGAGGTGACCGAGATACAACCGGATCTAAACACCCACGTCGATGAGTCCGAACCACTCGAGGAGGAGGGAACTTACCATTAGAGCATGATGAGCCGCCCATAGAGTCGAACGAAGCATACCTTGACCAGAGTCCAAGTTACAGTTGCCGAGCTTCGATCCAACGCGAGGCATGTATGCGGCCTTAGGTTCAAGTCAGCAATCGATTCATGAAATACATTTGGGTGGCCTTACTTAGTAGTACTTTGAGTGTGTGGGTTGGATGGTATTACGGAGCGGAGCATGGTTTCGAGCTCCACAGGGGAGAAAGGAGAAGTCAGCAATGTAAGTATACGAATAAATAGCGGGCATACCTGGTTTCATTCAGCGATAGTTCGGGGTTTCGGAGATTATAGGGTAGGTGCGTGTGACGGCCTATTGAGACGCCGAACGCAAGTCAGTTAACCGTTCCGATAGTCAAGACTGAATTCAACATACCTTCGCCTGTAAACCTCAACGTTGAAGTCAACAAGAGCGCAAGAATAAATAAATCGAACTTACTTGATTCGTGCGATAATAGTTTCGGCATCGAGCGCTATTGGCCATTGAGCGCGAGGGCTGTGGCCTGAATCGACGCAGTGAAGTCAGGGCTAGTTGACATAGATGTACTGACACAGTTTCGTGAGTTCACTCTGGCACTCAAAGTCATTACGAACTTGAGCTGGGTTAAAGAGTATTGGTGCGCACCTTGTTGATACAGCGATAGTCCCGGCGTTTGAAAACTGAGCCAGTGGGGCCGTAAGGATCCAGGTCCAATCAAAAAGAATTAGGTCGCAGATCCAGGGGCCGAGAGTCATGAGCAAGTCAGATTGGTCCTGAGGACGAAATATCATCCAGTGAGTAAATCGACATTCCGGGACAGGGACACGAGAACTGACCTTACCACAACTCGAAGCGTACTTAAAGGTCGGTGTTGACTGTATGGAGTTTCGACGCCAGCGGAAAGGCGATAGGGTTTCTCTTGAAAACATAATACTGATTGCCGTAAATGGTCAGTGAATCGAAAAAGAACACGCAGGGTGGGAACACCTCCCGGGAGCGCGGCGCGCGTAGCTATAGGAAATTAAAATACCTGTAACACAGCTGGTCTGCGAGCGCTGAGCAAGTCGGATCGGCCCTGATGAAGAAATATCATATAATCAGTCAATCGGAAAGTCGAGATAGTGACACAACAACATACCTTCCCGCGGCCCGAGTGACACCCCAAGTCTATATTGACTTCATGGAGCCGCTGGGAGAGCCGCAAGGCAATAGCTCGTTTCTTGGAGATGAGATACCGCTTTCTGAAAATGGTCAGTAGATCAAACAAGAACACACAGGGCGGGACTGCTCACTCTGAGAGCGGCGCGGATAGCCTTAAAAAATAAGAATACCCATTAACCAGCCGCTTCGATAGCCACGGGCGAGCCGTACTAGTCCTGATGCAGAAATATGATATAGTCAGTCAATCGGAAATTCGAGGTAGTGACAGTGACACAACAACATACGTTACCGCGCCTCAAATTGTACTCCAAGGCGTACAATGACTGCATAAAGCCGCTGCGAGAGCGGAAGGGGGATAGGGTGTCTCTTGGAGACGAAATACTGTTTTCTGAAAATGGTCAGTAAATGGAAAACGGACACTCAGGGCGGGACTGCTTACTCGGAGAATGGAGCGGATAGCTCTACAAAATCAGAATACCTTTGAACCAGCAGCTCCGACAGCTATAAGCGAGTCGGATCTGGCTTGAGGAAGCAATATAAGAACGTAAGCCAAGCGAAACCTCGGGCCAGGGGTACTAAAACTGAGCTGTACCGCGGCCCAGATGATACTAAAAGGTTGCCATAGACTGGTTACAACTTCTCCGAGAGCGAAAAAGACCATAGACATTGTCTTGAGCACGAAATCATGGTCTAGGTCAAAGGGTCAGTTAATCGAAAGGTACCCCAAGTACGGCCGGATTGACCGGTACGGCTGCGGTGGGAGCGGGAAAACGTCCAGTAGTTTCGTACGCATCGTGTCCGAGGAAACCCGAGACTGGCTGAGAGATTGGACTCGACCCGAGGACGAAATAGTGCTGGAGGGCAAAAATAGCTAGTTTGGGAATGAAGGCGGATAGTCGCGGAATACTGACCTCTGTTGCGGATACGGAGGGCTGGAAGGTTGAATCTGCAGTGCCGGCAGCGGTCAGTACAAGAGTTGGGACGAAAGAGCGGAGTGGGGACTCACCAAGCCAAGTTGGCATTTTGGCTGATTTGCTGAAATTGGTGGGCTGTGTGCGTTCGAGCGTCTTGGGCACCGCGGGAATATTGATATGCGTCAGCGCTGATACAAACAAGCAAGAAATGGACATACCTTCGAGTACTCTTGACCGGGGGAGTATTTGGATTTGACGGCTTGCAGGGAAGGTTAGACTGAAAATGCAACGTTAGTAGGAAGTCTTGGATCAAGATGGACGGTCACTTACATTAATTGGACCATCTAATAGCTGTCTATGACGTCGAAAGTCCCTCAGAGCCGAACTTCCACGAGCAGCGAGGCTAAGGTCAAAGTGAAGGTCAACGATGAGTCATGACGCAAAGGTCTTGAAAACTTACTTGAATTCCATGCAGGGGCTGCCTGAGTGAAGCCGGGCATACTAAGGAGCACATTAGTGGATGAGTTGAGCTGAAAATACAGCGCCGGAGACTCAGCATGAAGAGTCGGCGCAGGTCGGCGCTTGGTGACGCATACCCGAAATGCCCGAGATGCCCAAAATAGCCCGCGCGAGGTCTCGAGCGGCCATTCCGGGAGATTCCTGGAGAACGGAGCTGTACTTTGTCAGTATTAGCATCATAATATAAGCTAGAACGCGCCATTGAAGTATGAAATGCATTACAAGTCTTGAGCTTGAATCAAAGGCAACTG